GAAGAGCAGCGCGGGATTTGTTTGCTACGGAGGATTTCAAAGGTGCGTCGAGTGCTCATCCCGTCTTGGTTTTCTTGGAAAATTCCACCAAAACGGTGGCCTCTTGTCACATGCGTCTTGTTGTTTTTCCCAAAACGGATGTTCAGTCATGACAACTGAAAATTGGACTGTTTGGAGACTTGACGGTATCTTTGGAAATCAAGCGGGCCTCAAAACAGGCTGCTCCGATCAGCGCTCTGGCAAGGGACGGCACACAAACTAACTTTGACGTGAAACTTTTCATGAGAAGGAAAAAAAAAAAGAGCTCGCCTCGGTCCATTTACGCAACAACAAATCGATGGATTGCGTCGACAGACAGAGTTGGGCGTTCGGAGGTCAAATAGGAGTTGCAAATATTCACCTGTAACGCGGCGAGTTGCTCGCAAACAAGCTTGACCGTACTCACGCTTTCGTCCGCCGCTCAAGTTGGCCTCCAGACTCTTGAATTTGCTCACGAGCTCCTTTCGTCGGGAATGATTCCGCAGAGCGTGCGCGCACAGGGCGGACGCAAATTGGGTCGCTCTAAACAAGCGGGCAAAAGAAGACCGTCGTTGAGCAAGAAATGCGGCTTTCCTTGCCTTCGTTTTCCCACGAACCGACCTGAGAAGACGGTCCCTTCCCTGACTCTGGTTGATGACGTTTTGCAGCGCCTCCATGGCTCGCCTCGGCCCACTTGTTGCACGGGGCGCTCTTTCGAGCTGCAAACTTGGTCGACTGAGCGCAAAGCTCGGCGATCGCGTCGCTCCGCGACGAGGCTCGCTTTTCAGAAAAAACGCACGACGGTTTGTATCGAGCGTTTTAAAAAAAGCCAAAAAATTAAAAAAAAAAAAAGCAACTTCGATGACGCTCATTCCTCGCTTCCCAAGCAGGTGCCTTCGGTGGATTCTTCCAACCCGGAAGTGTTTGCTTACGGAAGCCGAGAAAGTCCCTGCCACGGTCGATCCGCGTTCTCCACACGAGGGGACGCTCGAGGCACAATAGGAAGGCCGGAACCGGGATCGAGCCCGAGACGCCGCCCGCTCGTGAACATAAAAAAAAAAAGAAATGTCCAAAATGCGGGCCGAGACTCTCTCTTCCCTCTCTGAGACCTGCAACGCAATTCTGACACTCGCCTTCGCATTTCGGCCACGTCCAAGCAAAAGCTGCTCGGGACAATGAGCGCAAGTTGGACGTGAGCTCACCTCAGTCGCTCGGCACAGAAGGTCGAGCGTCTTCCCCGACCTGCTCGTGGCACCCCCGTTGCCGAGGTAACGAAGCACCTTCTCACAGTGACAGGGCGGGGGG